CTCTTTGAACTGGCTTGACTACAACTTACCACAAGTTGATCTATTGAATGACCTGTTTTTCTTTTCTGAGAAAGTGTTAAATATGAAACACTTTAAAATATAATATGTAGACCTTTGATATGAAGGCATGCTTGCCTCAGGAAATTGCTGTAGTCTAATTATCAAAAAGTGTTTCTCTAAAACTTATTTTTTGCAATTTATTTTGTTTTGCACTTAATTAACTTATTTTTGTCTAAGACAGGCAAAAGAGCGACAATGAAAAACTTTTGATGTTTTTATCACTGTCAATTGTAATTTTAGTAGATTACCCTCTAACGGGGTAAATGAAAATGACACTTCTATATTTCATTTGGACTGGGCAACTGTCTAAGAATGTGGAACTTTTTGCTGTTGGAATATGTATGCCAACCATTCTTCTGACAGTAATGATACTATGATCCTCATTATAACAACAAATACTGGGGCAAATATGTGAAAGAAAAAAACCAACCCCTAAAAACAAAGGTTTTCTTATAAATCCTCTAAATGCATTTATACACTTGTTCATGGTTTATAATTTATATGAGTGAAGCAGCTTATTTTTTACATCATATTTCCTTCATATTCCTCTTGAAAAACAGGGAAAACTGATTCATGGAGGTGGGGCTGAAAATTTGATAGAATTTGTTGTCTTCGGCAAAGAGTCTATGTGCCAAGTTTTAGCTCAATAGGATGATGGGAAGTGGGTCAATTAGCCTTCTGAACATTCACAAAAAAAACAAAAAACAAAAAACAAAAGCAAAGTTTATGTAAATGATTTCAAAATAGATTTTGCATGGGTTAAGAAAGACTGATGTCAAACCAAAGAACAGAAAACATGGTATAGTATAGTAGACTCATTTCTCTAATCATGTTATGCTGTCTTACATCATTCAGTTCCTACAGCCAACAAACGTATCATAGGCCTTAATGGACGCACCACATATGACAGACACTACAACGACAATGCTGGCCCAGTAATTGAGCAGATCAGAGAAGTGGGCAAAAAGCTTGGAGTGGAGGCTTTGAAGAAACATTATGAAAGGAGCACAGGGCAAGGTAAACAAGAAATGGCATATGTATAAATGCATAAGGTCCCAAATTTTATATTTTTTAAATTTAAAAATTGAAAACAGTTAATTTTAGCCATAAATGTAACATTAATCAAATAAATAATTCTCATTAAATCTTTTGTCTCCTAATATTTTATCTACCCCAAGCTCTAGTTAAAGCAAAACATGAAAAGAACCAACAAAATTACAGCAGTGAGCATAAACTTAGTTGAAAGTAAAATATTGACTTAGGCATACAAGCTAGAAAATGCCAATAATATTCAGTAAAATATCTTGAAAAAGCTTTAAAACAATGACAAAAAAAAGATAATATATTCTGTTTATAACTTTTCAAAATATGTTGTTGTTTTTTTGGTTATATTATTTACAGATAGAGAACTTATTGGGAAACTCTTGAAAGAATACAGTGCACTTCCCTCTCCTGTACCTCCTACATACAGTAGGCCAGTGTGTCCAACACCACACATTAACCAGAGGACTCATTCAGTTTCTAATCGCACCCCATCACCACCCCAGCGTGCAAGCCCTGCGACGCCATCCCCAACACAGGTCAGGTTTAATCTGACATCTCCAGCAGCCAATGGATTTTCCAGCCGACCAAGTTCTCAAAAGCTTCACCCCACTGTTCCACCTGCTACACCCATCCTGATGCCACTACCCACACCATATAACTTACAAATGCCTACATCTCCTCTGTCACTACCTTACACACCACCTATGTATTTGTCTTAAAACTAGTCACACCTTTATGAATAGCTTATTTTATCTTTGTTTAAATATTATGATTCACTTTCTTTTTACCATGGTAACAGTCCATGTGGACGGTTTGCCACCTACATGAGAAATAAACACAAATATTTGGTAAAGTATCAAAAATGAAAATGACTATGCCATTATTTTAAAATTTACAATTTTCATGTTTTACAAGTTTCTTTTTTGTATTAAAAGCTATAAAAATTATATATATTATATTGTATGCACCTTTCAGTATTGATTATTGATGTTTGCTTGAAATAATGGAGCTTAAGAGGTATTCTTTAATATAAGTTGGATTACCACAACTCCAAATTAAAATCTCCCTCTGCCTCTACATTGGCAGCTGTACAATAAAGATGATAAAGATCTCACAAAACATATATTATTTTTACAAACAAAAAACTTTGACCTCAATTATTTTAATGTTCTTGCTGGATAGGAAATATTTTTTAGAGTATTTTCCTTTGTTTAAAATTACTTTTTAAGATAATTAATATTAAGTGATGAAGTATAAGGCAAAGACCAAATATCAAATAAGAAATGCTTTTATAATGTTTCAACTACCTATTAAATATTGATTACTAATTGTTCATATTTAATTGTATTTTTTTTTACTGAGGAAAATTTCCACATTTAAGTATAAAAGCTAGATGTTTGGTTTCTCTTACCCTTCACTATGGATAAACTGAAAACAGAACAACATGAAGTGGCATACATCAAGATGGACTTGTTAATGATTGTTTAGTATTATGTAAAATGGCAATGTTTTTAAAAAGTAGAAGTGTCATTAAAATAGTTGTTTACTTTAAGATTTAGGCCTATATGTTTACATAATTTATCTAGTGATATTTTGTATTGAATTTTATTTCTTATGATCTATATCTGATAATATTTAATCATAGAGCTCATGTATGAAGAGAACAACAAAAGTAGCTATTTTTTAAAATTTGTATTATATTTTTCAAATTTAATTGTGATTATGGGTTGTTTAAACATGGGCAGTTTAAAATATATTTTAGCATTGATCTGAATAATAACTTTTTTAAAATTTGATCAGATTCTGTGATAGACATATTTGTAGGTAAAGTGTATAGTAAGAGATTATAACTTGATAAGCCTTAATGAATATTTAATATACATGATATACTTTTGGAATTGGCATATATCATTAAGCACAAAAAGATTATCTGCTGCTGGACTTGACTAACAAATATACATTTTCTAAATTCTCATTTATCACAAAATTCAATTTAATTTTAATATACCACTGTATTGCAATGTGGATGAAACAATGCTGAACTTTTATTGACATAAATAAGGAAAAACATTAAAGGAAAGGTAAACATGTTTTTTTTAAAACAAAGAAAAAAAACATTTTTTTTTAGTTTTTAGATATAGTCAGTTGGTTTATATGTTATCTCTGAACACTTTTCTAGTAGACCTACAATGTAACAAATGTATTGTAAAAAATAATTTTGATCTTGTTATTTGGAATTAGCACTGTGCCTTTATATACTCTTTCCGACTAAATACCATTGCCTTCATTTACCTTTTCTGTGTTTCAAATTGCACTCAAATCCTTGAAGAAATTTTTAAAAAACAATTCTTTTAATACATTTATTGTAATTTTCTTGTTCCTTTTTTTAAAAAAAATAATAAAGTTTAACATTAAACAATCTAAAAATCTGTTAAATCTTACTTTATATACAATGAATGTTACAGGTTGGGCGGGTGGGAAGTTTTTAAAAAAAAATGTTTTGGCTACATTTTTTCATATATTTACAGTATGACCTGACCTGATTATACATTGCACATGTGGCTGTAGGCCAGCGTAGTTTTACTGTAAGCCCTTTGATTTAATCATGAATTTTCAATTAATCAATTACAACAAACTTGATCATTCTTAAAATAGTACAACGATACAATTTTCTCCTTTTTGTATCAAGTTCTCTAAGCCGAGAGATGGTCATAACGATGACAGCAGAGGGCGAGTTGTTGAAAATCTGCTGGCTTTCAAGCACATTTGTTGAGCAGCCCAACATCACCATGCTATCGATGAGCTACTTGGGCAATGGTCTGACAACCAGGCTCCTTCTAAATCTCACGTAATTTTTACTTTGGGTGAAAAAGCTGCCAGTGGATGGCTGGTGTGCAGTGCAGGATTACCTACATGCAAATGAGGCACATTCCTAGGGGCACAACGCCTTTAAGTAGCCCCGCGACAAAGAATCCTTATTTTTTTTTAAATTGCAGGCGATGGTGACCATCTAAGTGCGCTTCTTGAGCGAGCTGTCGTTGTGTGATGATAGGAAACATAAAAGACAGAAAAACATCGAGTTAAATGAAGTCTGTAAAGAGACAACAAGCGAGTTCATTGAACTCTTATTCCTCTCTGTAATAAACATAAATTAAAACGTAAAATTTAAAAAGAGAAAATTGCTAGTTTCATTTCCCTTTTGTTTAAAAAAAACAGGGGGGGGGGGCGCTGAGCTAAAATTCTTTAGTGACTTCTTTTGTGAGGTCTTCGCGTGTTTGAACTTGGAGAGGTATCAAAGGAAAAGGACAGACTGATCATTTGATTATCTTGCACCTCCGAACATATTTTTGAGCGGAAATTAAGAACTATGAGTAGGCTCGACCTGGCTAAGTAAATTTATTGCGAGGCCCCCCACAAGCGTGGGACCTTGGGCGGTCTCCCCGCTCGCCACCCCCTAAGGCCGGCCCTGCCTAAAACCTGTTTTTTTTTTTTTTTTTTTTTTTTAATGTCACGGCACACTACTGTTGGTGACGTTTTATTTTCCTTCCGTATATTGCTGTTCCCCCAAAAAAAATTATTAAAAAAATTCGAGTCCGGGTAACCAAACGTTCAAATTATCCTTGTTCGGATATTCGACGTCGTGCAAGAGAGGTAACTCGAAGAACTTTGTGTTGTCTGTTCGACATTCGCCAGGTAGTGGGAACTTGGTTTCTTGCAGTAGTACACACCTCTTCGAGTGCTTTCTTTGAGTTTGAGCTCTTGCGAACGGCACATCCATTTCAGGCGCATAGAAAAACAGGCACACGCAACAGGTAACTCACTCTCCTCCATGTAACAGGTTGGGGCGTAGGCGTAACGTATTATTCCATTAGTAAGAATCCTTCAAGGTTAAGGTCAGTGTTGTTTTGTGTCGATAGGATTACTCTAACTCTTAGCCTTCAGTATTCATGAATTTAGATCAATAGCAGCTGTGGTCAGTAGTCAGTAGTCATTAATTATTAATAATTAATGTGCTGCACCTAAATATACGCTTTACTAAACTATAAAAATATATAACATTAATAGTCTATTGAATTGTTTATAGAATAGATTATATATCTTATAATTTCAAAAAATACGTGAATCTAGTTTGCATTTGTAAACAGAATGTCTGGACAGAAAGTAGCAGTGGTAAGTGGTTGAACAAAATTAAATAACTATGATAATATTTATTTAATCCTAATCATTAGTATTATGCTAAATTGTTTCACCATTATACAATTACTCTAGATGTAATTGAACATTCTGTATAATTGGTAACAAACAAAGAAAATATAGAATACAGTTTGTTTTATATAAATTATAGCCTATATATTGTATATATATTAATAATTATTAATTTACAGAAAGGTCTGTGTATTTCATGAACTGTGCAGTTACATTACAATTACATGTTCTAGTTCTATACATAAAATTCATACTTCTTATTTCTGCTTGAATGAGACATCATGTTAAAACTGCTAACTTGACACTTTTGGCTAGTAGTCTACATGTCTACTTCTAATATTTTATGTAATTGTGATGCAGTTTGTAAAGGCTAAAGGGCTGTAGTACACCACTGGCTATTTTTTGCTTGATGTTGTAGCCTATAGTTTAAAAGGTAAAACAATATCAATGAAGCTTTATTGATGAAATGAAATTTATAAATTTGAAGAAAAAAAGTTTAGTGTTCAGGTCACTGTTCTTGTAATGCTAGTTTTCAATAAAAAGCATTTCCTTGATTCTTAGGTGACTGGAGCAAACAAAGGCCTTGGTTTTGCAATTGTTAGGGGACTTTGCAAAAATTTTGAAGGGGATGTCATTCTTACTGGTAGGCCCTATATCTTATCATTTTTTATTCACTAAATTATTGCATTGCTGTTTAGGCATTATACTAAACTATAACTCTTTAATTCACTAATATCCATTGTAATCTTTTTGATATGTTTTAAAGAGTATGTTTCTTGTACTGTAAATAAATTGTGCAAAATCTTGGAAAAACGGATACCGGTATTTCGCTTAGCTATCATGTTTTAGGTGCGTAATTTAAAAAAGATTTTTTTTAATCCATACATCTCCAATAAAATTTCAATGTGTCTTTATTTGAATTCATAATTACTGTGTAAGCTTTCCACATTTATCAGCTTTGATCTGGGTAAGACCACTAGATTTCATATATTTGCTTATGTTTATTTAGCATTTATTTCAAATAAATTTATCTTTCTAATTATAGCTCGTGATGAAGGGAGAGGAAAAGCAGCAGTTGCAGAGTTGGAAAAAGAAGAGCTTCACCCAAAGTTTCATCAGCTAGACATCAGTGACCATGAGAGTGTGTTGCGAATTAAAGACTTCCTGGAAAAGAACTATGGAGGCATTGATATTTTGGTCAACAATGCAGCCATTGCCTATGAGTTTAATGTAAGGAATATTTTCTTTTAACAACAAACAATACTCTTTATTTTAATAATTTATCAATTTCTTAATTTTTTAAAATTACAACAAAAAAAAAGAACATATTTACCAAGTGTTATTTTTGTCAAAAGACTCCATTCTATAAGTTACAAACAAATTAATTTTTTTTTGTCATCAGAATACTCATAGTTGCAACACAAAAGCTATGCAGCTAACAACAAATGATTGCATTCATTTTTCTTAATATTGGCAAGATTTCTTTCAATAATCTTTGTAAAGAAAAAACAACAAAGCATATCACTTAGACTTACTATCACTAACATTCGCATGTTTGAAAATTGTATTTATAAGAAATTAGCTATTTAAATAACCCATTAAAAAAAACTATATATCTAATCTAAACTTATCTTTTTTATTATAGAGTGTCCTATCCCCTCCCATTGGCCAGGCAGCTGAAGAGGTTTGTAAGATTAACTACTTTGGAACTTTGGATGTTTGCCAGGAGCTCTTTCCATTACTTAGACCACATGCCAGGTAAGTTTAAATACTTTAGCCTGTGATTTATTAAAAAAAAAAATTCTGCACTATCCATCACTTTGCAACTCTCCTGGCCATTAGAGTGTCAGTCAAGATTGTACTTTAAATTTATTACTTTTTATTCTAAAATTTACAAAATCAGTCGTGTTATGCTTAATGTAATATTTATAATTTTAATTACCTGTATCCTTATTAAACTGATAAAGTTGTGTTCTTATTAGTTGATATATTCTCCATCTCTGTTTGATTTTAAGAAATAAATATACACAGCACATATACATATAATGTTGAATAAAAAGGGCAAGCCTCTAATTAACTAACAGAAATTAATTTAATATTTTGTTTCAGAGTTTGCAATGTCTCAAGTATCAACTGTGAGTTTTCTTTGTCTGAATACTCAGATGAACTAAAGGCAAAAGTCAGGAAAACAGATTTGACAATTGATGATATCACAGCTTTGGTGAAACAGTTCGTTGAGTATGTCCTTAGTTTGGCAGGTGTATGTCCTTAGTTGGCAGACATATGTCCTTAGTGTTGCAGACATATGTCTTTAGTGTGGCAGACATAAATTTTTGGAAGAGATATGTAAAATTAGATTGGTAAATTATTTCCATCTACAAAATTATTGAGCTATATGATTTGTGTTATGGACCATAACTGTCATTCTTTCTGGATATGTCAGTAGAAATGCTTGTGCATATATCTGATTTGTAATCAATAAGTTTTTGACCGTGGTAAATTTGAGAATCACTGTTCTCAATAGCTTTTTAGCTAGCATGTAAACATTTTTAGAGTATACATTTTTTAAACCCTTTTTCCCCACCTTAAGTGCTGCAAATAAGAATCAATTAAAGGAGCAGGGCTTTGACAGCTCACCTTATGGGATCTCCAAAGTTGGGGTCAGCCTTATGACTATCTTACAACAGAAAGAACTTGATGCCAAAGGAGCAGAGGATATTGTTGTCAATGCTGTAGGTATTGATTTCTTGGTAAATGATAATGAAGATGTTACAATGAGTGACTTGTGCAAGATGTTTTAAATTGTAATGAACAATTTATAACTAACTGATCCCTTTTGGGATATTTTATATTTGTTTACTTTTATTTTTCAACTGTCTTATCCTCAGTGTGATGTTGGTCTAGTTGCTACTGATATGACAGGTGGTGCTGGAATGCCCATAGACCAAGGTAAGTTTTATTATATAATTGTGCAGTGGTGCCCCGAAATTCTTGTAAATATCTTTTTTTGAATTCAATGAACATCATTAAAAATAAATTCAAACTGCCTTATTTCACACATATTTAAAAACTATGTGTAAATTGATATGCCTAAATTCCAGTAAGCATTTTTTTTATTAATAACCATCATTGTGATTGTTTTTATATAAACTTTGGTTTCAGGAGCAACAACTCCTCTCTACTGCTGCCTTCTTCCCCCTGACATTGAAAGTCCAAGAGGCAAGTTCATTATGAACAAGAGAGTGTATGATTGGTTAACTGCCTGTACCACTGAAGCCACTGCCTCATAAAGTTGGACCTGAATTTTTTTACCAGTTGCAAAAGGATTCGGGCAATCACTAGAAATTTATTGCATTTAAAGGTCACATCAATTATAAACACTTGACTTAACTGTAGCTCATTCTTTACCGATAACAATATAATAATGTATGAATAAACTGTTTTCTGGAATGTTAAAATATTTCTTTTTTACCATTTGGTACCTTAAATTATTTGAATTTATTTTTCATTATAAAAGGATACAATTTGGCTCATTTGTAACAAAACAAATTCTTTTTATTTTTGTTACACTATGACCTATACTTTAAGATTGGTTTCAACAGTGCATTCACCTTACCAAAATTATATTCTCTTTTCAGTTAGTTATTATTTTAATGACAAGATTGGCTGTATAATCTTTTTTTTTTTTTTCTAAGTTGGTTCAAGATAGACAAACATTATTTTTAATTGAAGATTAAACATTTTGACAGTATTATAAGATTAAATTAATATTGTGAGTTCAGCATTTATATCAAATATACCAAATGAAATGCATATCATGAAGTAAGCAATTGAATGTCCATATTATAATTGCCTGAGAAGCAATCTCTTCTTCTTATGCACAATGTATTGTTTTGTACTCCATCACATTTTGATGTCACCTGAATCTTGTGGTTATGTTCTAAAGATGCAAGTAAACGTAATGCTTTGTATAACACCCCGGCTGTGTCATCTGCCGTTTTTTGTTACCTTAGGATCTCACCCTGTATATTTTTGTTATTAATTGTTTGATACCGGCTATCCTGGCTTTAATAATTTTTCCTAAGTTTATTGAATTTTGTTTTGTTAAAGACAATGAACATTGGTGTTTTATATTGACAATGACATGGTGTCTGTCTCTACGTGAAATTTACAATTTTAAATGATGGTTATTTCCTACAAGTTAAAAGTGTCATGCTGATATGGCTAATTTTGCTCATCTTATGCGAGACTTTTCAAAAAAATTTTTGTTTTATCAGTCTCGGAAAGAAACTCAATTATTTTTACCAAATTTTTTTTTTTATTATCCCACTTCTTGCTTATTTGATCTTTTGAAGTTGCCCCTTTCCTAGTTGCAGTTACTTTGTATCAGGGATCTCCAGCTTCCAACTCATCAAACCCTATCACACAATTGAGTGCTGCTTACAGCTTATTGAGAAGTAAGAAAGAATGGATGAATATTATACTGCATTTATTACCACAACCTAATAATCTAATGAAAATGTTGCCTTAGAAGTGGAGAATTTTAACTAACCAATGATCATTTCAAAATTTATACTTCAAATATTTAAAGTAAGCAAAGTTTATTAATTTACTAAATATAATTAATTTTTAAAAAATATTCAGTACATGTAAATCAGTCGTTTTGGATCATAACAATTGTGTTGTGAGCAGCCCTCATGGTGGTTTAAGATCCTTGTATAATTTTCAATGCCTGTGATTAAGTTGTTATACATGAATTTTTTTTTTTAAATTGCTTAGGAAGAAAACTTTATTTTACCATTCCATTTTTTTTGTTTGGCTAAAGCTTTATTTGAAATCAACTGATTTAGCATTGCTCATATGTAAGTTCTCTTTTTTTTATTTTACACTTGTGCAATTTAATCACCTGTGTAGACTTGTGTCCTGTGATGTTTTAGATATTTTAGCAGTCCAAACTAAATTATATGGTGTGAGTTTATGATCTCTAGAACTTTGGGGTTACCTCACCTGATATCGGTTGGTCATCTATATATCTTATGAAAACTGTCTATATTAATACTACAATGAGAATACAGCTATATTTCTGTTTAAAACTGTCAGCATATAATAACATATGAATAAAATAACCTTAAATCTATTTATAAACATAGTCGATGAACATAAATTAATAAATTTCTCAATAATGTAACATTAGTTTTAGAAAAATAAAAAATTGAATGGAACCAATTTGTATTTTATGTGTTTGTTTATTGCGATTTTTTTTGTAAACCTCTAAAATAGAAAATGTACACAAGGTGTAATTATACAATCGTCAAGGTTAAAATAAGGTTTCAATAGAAAAAAAGTTGAATTAACATCTTTATCCAATAGTGAATACAAATTAAATTTGACATTTGAACTGAATAGTTCATTCAATCTGTGTACATGAGATCAATTTTGTCACTGTTCCAAACTAGACAATGGGCACCATGACAAAGTTGACCCAGTCAACAGGTTCCTTGTCACGGATCATTTGACCTCGTGGACTCTGGATGTTTGGTGGTAGCAGTGCACAGTAAAGTGGTGTGACAATGCCTAAGATAGAAATCAAGGTCAATTATTAAGGTGTGCTACAATTCTTACATGAACCTAATTTAATTTTTTTAAATTCTGCTTTACTTTTTGAATATCTAAAAGTTTGTTTCATGCATTTCTCTCACTGCACCACATAATACCAAGTTGTGCTTTATTCTTTTAGGTTTATATTTATCTTGAATGTTTGCCACTTCTATAGGTTTAAATCAGCACACTTAAAAAAAAAAAACTGTACACATCACATCGTTAAACTTTATCACAAAACAAATGTGTCATCTTTAAGAGAACCATGCTCTGTAACAGCTGTTTAATATTTTATATCAGTGTTTCTCAAATGGTGGACCAGTGCCAGTTCACAAGCCTTACAACAACTTTGCGGGTCCATACAACATGAATATTTATTGTCAAATTTTAAAAAATTTTAATTAATAAATCTGTCACATATCCCTGATGCAATTTCAAAACTGCCCACCGGTCCGCCAAACTTAAAAGTTTTTGAAATGCTGGTTTTTTTATCACATGAACAAGACTTACCTTCCTCTATTGTAAGTGTCCCCTTATGTTGCGTCATGTCGGTGCTCACATAGCCTGGTGTACACTGCAAATAGATAGCATTAAAATCACATCTTTATTATTCTGTATTGAGATGTCTAAGTCATATTGTCTCTTTTTCAGTATGATAAAAACTCATATATCACTATTTACCCAGTTTCTATTAGTTTTCCTAGACTACCATAAAAGCCTAATGAAATTATTATGATGTAAGACTCAAGTTTTATTATTTTTAATTTTTGGAATTTTTTTTAATACTTTTTTTGCAAAATGATACCATTTGTTATACATTGCAAAACTCTTAAACAATTTATTGTAATATTTTATTACCATAGCAAAAATTATTTAAAAGTGGGACTAAATTGGAACCTCTTAAGCATATCAATATATTCCGTATCTATAGTTACTATTGCAAGCCCTGGTGTCAAATAAAAAAAATTCTGTGTCTAATACAAATTTTTCATTTGCCCAGATAACCCTAAATAAGTGTCTCTTATTTCTTAACTAAAGGGCTAGTATTTTGAACTTGAAACAAGCATCATTTGCTTACTGCATTTACAATAATATCATCGGCACCTCTCCTGTCTAGTTCTCTCTGGTGGATATAGGACATTACAGTGAGTCCTATTTTGGAAAAGGCATACATATCGTCTGGAAAGCCAGCCTCTTCATATTTACCATCTTTAACTGATCTGGAAAACAAAATGTATGTAGCTTTACAATTTAAACACAGTGAACACACACACACAAAATTTGTTATAGGTATCTTCTAATTATGTTGCTGAAATGATTAAATATGGGAACAGTTTTAACTCTTAGGGGGGGAAAAGACAACAATTTCCTCCTCATTAATGTACAGTAAATTGTGCAAATTATTACGATTTTATTATTAAAAAATAAACATGCTAAAAATAATGCATGGTTTTAATTATTTTAGCCACTATGTGATCATAATTATCTTTTTCTTAAGAACAGTTCATTCCTAATGAGATGCTTTCTAGTCAGTTTTTAAGATCACATCTTTACAAATGCATCAGTGTTTAGTAAAGAAACTACTTTAGGTTAAATGAAACTCACACAATATACTGGTTCATCAATCCAGATAACTCCTCAATGGTTATATCTGGGTTAGTTAACTTAGCAACAAGCTTTGGAGAGCATTTCTTGATGGCCCAATTAGCAGCCATGCTGGATATATTGCACACTCTAAATAAATGGTTTAAAATCATGAGGAATATGAAAATCAAGTTATCTATAGTATATGATAGTTTACAGTTAAGTGGTTTTGTCCACTTCATTTAAAATGGTGCTGCACTAGCATGAATTTTGGATACAAACATGGTACATGCAATCACTTATCTTTTTTTTTTCAATGCACATGTAGATAATTTAAATTTTTTAGTTAAGAGACTTTACTATTTACCTATTGATATAAAGTAATACAGTTACCCTTTCCAGTGTTTCTTTTTTTAACTGTCACTGGTTGTGTTTATACACTTCTGGCATTATTTACACAATTATGTCCAGAATTGTTGTCCAATTAAACCTTGAGTCTATAAATGAATGCTTCAGATGCTTGATCATCTTACCTGGCATGGGGTCTCAAAATTGGAAACAGCACCTCACAACAGTCCAGATTGGCAAAGTAGTTTACTTGTAATGTTCTTTCTGCCTTTTCTTCAAAGGAAAGATTGGTATCAAACTGAGTAGAGAAAATGAGCATAGAGTAAACTCAATACTGAATTGGGGGAAAAACTGAATAAATAAGGTGTTATTAAAATGTGTAAATCAATAGTAACAAAATAGACAATAACATTATTCTGAAATCCATCCGTAAACAATGTGATGATGGTGTAGACTTCGAAGGATGAAATCACAAGGCCTGGGGTTTTTCTTTAGGAGGATAAGCTGGTTACCTATACAGTAAATCACCTCTCTCCATGCACCTAGATAACCCAAGGAAACATCATATGTGGATGATACAGCTTTGCCCCTGAAGTGTCACAGGAGTTGCCAGGAATTTTGTTGCATCAATGTTATCTGCCTTCACGACTCCATTTCTGGGTTTGAATTCAGAGTTTTTCTTCTCTGAGATGAGTTGCCATTCAGGCTAACGGGTCCCATCCACCCAGGGTTGTTTTTGTTTTTCTAGGCTTTGGTGACGACCGAACACCAGACCACAAGCTTTTGATTGACTCAGATTAGACCACTCGGCCACCCAGCACCCAAAGACCATTACATTATTAACAAAAAATAAATAAATTCTATCAGAAAAGTAAGTCACAGTAGCAATTAAACAAAATTAATAAATTACAATGCCAATAAAGTCTTTAACATTTTAAGGCACATACAACACTAACCTTTAGCATAATGCCAGCATTGTTCACTAAAATATCCAGGCCTTCATAATTTTTCTGCAAGAAGTCTCGTAGCCTAACTATGCTGCTGTGGTCACTAATATCTAATTGGTGAAATTTAGGGCTGATTCCTTCCTCCTCCAAAGTTTTAATGACCGCTTGTCCCTGCTTCTCATCTCTAGCTGTTCATTTCGGAATTTTAAAAGTTTTCAAAATTAAAGAAAATTTAGAAAAATTATAGTTTTTTCATGGCATTAGGAATATATATGAATTCATATTTGGAACTGGAAGCATAATAAATTACTTTGAAGGTCTCCTATAAAATGACTTTAAAAAACTTTTCTTACTTAATATCTGACTTAGTAAACTTACCTTACTGGTTTTTTGTTGTTGTTTTTTTTTTGTTGTAATTAATGATTATAAATTTAAAATTTTAATTTTATAAACACCAAAACAGATAATGTGGGATGCTTGCCAGCCTTCAAATTATATATTTTTTACATGTCTTTGAGCAGTAAATCATCTCTGTTATATCCCACTTCCAAATCTCTTAGAATAAAATATTTAAATTTTGCTGTACCTGTAAGAATAACATCCCCATCAAACAACTTAGACAAACTCCTAACAATGCCCAGGCCTATCCCTCTGTTAGACCCTGTAACCTAAACATTGATAAGCGACAGAAAAAATAAATTATACTTGGATGAGACAAATATGTTTCAAACACTCCATAAAAAAACAATTGTTTTAGTTTAAAAACTGCTGTCTTAAAAATTTTATCCATAAGCTGAAAATGAATCTCCACATTGTAATCAAAGCACATTTCCTTTGATTTGGATCAATAAAAATCTTATCTTTATCAGTCATTAATTATATCTTATGAAATTTACAAATTTAACATTAGGTCAAAGCCGCCAATGGCACCTTAGACTCCTATTAATAGTTGAACTGAACATCAAATATACATTAAAAGTAGGCAACTCTTAATAAGATTAAACTTTAAAAAAAAAAGAGAGAGAGAGAGATATACAAGATTTGAAGAGTGAAGGAGTTAATATTTGAAATAACTTTAAATGATAATTTCAAATGAAAATCTCAATTTGGCTTTACATGTAGCTAATAAAGCTATCCCAGAATTAACAAAAAAAATTATGCATGTACTATTATTAAAGTAAGTGAATTTTAATTTTTATCTGTCCATCAATGTAGTGCTTTAGTTAGTGCAAGCTAATTTGTGAACAATTTTTTTAATTTGCATAGGAAATTAATAATTGAAATGTGACAAGATTGTGATTTATTTTTACAAGCCAAGACACATACAGACTTGATTAAATGTGCTCATTAAGTAAAATGTACAAGATTTATTTGCCAAAATTCACAAAAAAGTTATTAGTTAATTCTGTAAAATGGTTATAAAAAGAAAACTCATCATTATTATTGGCTACCATTGTTTATTTTGTGTTTTGTGTTCACTGAGAACAAGTTTCTCATAAAAAGGATAGGCATAAGACCATTATTTTGTATTAAGGGGCAGTCCATTAATTACCGTATGTCAACAAATTTTAGGCAACTTCTTAACCACCTTCCTCCCCTTGTCAAAAAACTGTCAAACTGTTACCCCCCTCCCCCCCCCCCCCCCCCCCCNGAGATAGAAATAGGCGGGGAACAATAAATGTAGACCTATATTATACATTTTTTAAAACTTTTTAGACAAATATGTACTTTTGTAACAACTAGAAGCTATGACTAAAGTAAATTTTACATTGCAGAATTTATTAAAGACTTGATAAGGTGTAGATATTATTGTTAATACATTTATTGCTATTTTTTCCCATCCTTATCTTAGTAAGTCAAATGTTCCTCTTTAACAATAGAGCATAGCAACTGATTAATTTATCATTACCATATTAATATGTATTATTAATATCATTATTAAACTGGCTGAACACCCCCCCCCCCCCAATCCTTGTCTAGTTTAACCATTCACTGATTAAAATATCATCATTTTCTCTTTGTTCAATAATTGTCATTACATATCTCTCTCTCTTTAGTACTCTTTAGGAATCCATTGATTGAAATTGGCCGCATTTTAAAAAGAAAATGTATTTATTAAAAAAATAATTTATTTAGAAGCAGATGCTAATCTGACAATTTGAAAATATACGATTTTTATAGCCACTAAATCATTAAAAACAAAAATTACTGCCAATTTTTTTTCCAACAAGTAATAAAGAAGCCTATTAATTATATATATCATTAGCTAATTGTATCAAAGAAAGATGTAATTAATGGACAGCCCCAAAATGATTCTGAACAAACAGCCCACATCTCTGCACTTACTTAATGCTCTTACTCTTTGTATTTTGAACATGTGTACTATTAGTTTTGTTTACATAATATGTTAGTTGCTCTATGTTTTAGTAATTGAGCAGCCTCCTGCCCCGCCCTTCAAGAACTTGATGGCGAAGGGAAAAAAAAAAAACGTGCTTCTAAATACAGGGGTAAAAAGTAGGCCCACATTTGAATCCATGAATTTAGGGCAGCAGATAGCATACTTACAACAGCCACTCTCTTTGACATCTTCTGCAGAAGTCGGCGTATACTGTCTTGTGTCTATCAGACGATCAATAAAACACTGTATCCGCAAAACCAAAAGGCTTCCACTTGTGTGTAGCTACAATAAAACGGTGATTTAATAAATGATATTCAATTGCTCGCATAAATCAGCAAATTACGCAAATGATTGGGGGCCTTATCCTCTAACTCACTAGCCTTGCTGTGGCTTTGCTTATGCTTGGCTTAAATAATTATTCACTGATAAAAACGTAACAAAGTATAATGTGCTATCATTTTTAAAAAAATTGGGTCAAATACTGACTGAGAGCTGTTATGTACACACATTTTGGTTGTGTCTTGTCATTGTGACTTATCGGACTGCACATTTTCAGTTAACCTAACTGAACTAAACTTACTCGGCAGTGGAGTAGAGAAAGAATTTGCGCCGTCTGTAAGTTTTGCGCCCATTCTTAAAGATACAAGATGAAAATTACATATCAAACAAACTTCTGCCAAAACCGGATTTTGTTTTGGCTGGGGATGGCGTGGGGGATAAGGCAAAGGTCCAATGGTCCCTCGAAAATTTTAAGTTCAAGTCAAAGTATTGTGTAAATGACAATCGTAACAATTAGCATGGCCTAAGTAAAGCGATAAAGCATTTGCTAGATTTACAGTTCAAAGCTTGAATTTGGGCGCATTCATCATCGCATTAGACGTTTCTAATAACCGTTTCTTTGACTTTCGTAATGGCTTGCGGTCTCCTAAGATTGAATAGCCCTCATTCTTTTTTGTATCTTTAAGGCATGCTGTTATAACTGTCAAGAAAAGCATCATTCAGCATGGCTGAGGATACCATGCTAAGAAGTGTTGGGACTAGAAAGGTGCAGGAGAAGCATCAGAATCATCTCCAAAATCCTGGCCTTCATACCATCAAGAAGCCGAGGTACTATTTTAATATATCTAATCGGGAAGTCAAACTTCTCCATTATCTTCAGCGGGACATCTTTGCGGACTGTGTCAACGCTTTGGTCAGATGAAGAAATAAGATGAACAGGTTGCTGTATTGCTCTTGTTTTTTGTTTTTTTTCCTGTAGCTATCGTGCGGCAAATACAATGTCATATGTGTGACATTCTGAATGGAATTCACATCGGCCTTCAGATGTCACTGCAGACGATTAAGCAGAAGTCTGGCCAAGATCTTCCCAGCTATAATGGATGGGGAAGAATAAATATCTTCATGGCTGTCACAGGTTTGACGAAAATCTTTTCTCTTATATATGCGTATAATATTTGCATCCTTGACTGCCGCGTTACTCTAGGATTCCGAAATACTCTTCTTTTGCAAGGTATTCGTTTCGCGCAACTCGCCTCCTCTGCCTGTTTGATTCGGATGATTGCCAAATTCACCACTGTTCGCCGGCCAGAACGATGATCGGCGATTATTTCCCATTTGCCAAGTTTAATGTTGTATTCCCTCGTGATTCTTTTTCATACGTCCTTGTAGCGCAGCCGTGGCCGCCCAATATGTCTTTCACTATTTCCTTTCCACGAAAATGCCCCCCCCCCCACAAAACCTTTCATTATAAAGATAAAAGTAGGGCCCGGGGAATCCCCCTTCTCATACGTCACTGCCACGCCCGCTTGTTCAATCTAATCTACACGCCCCCGCCAATTAAATAACCGACACTCACCCTTTCTGTTATTTTTGTTGTTGCGGGGCCCACGCAATGGCTCTGTATTGTATCTCATTTTCTTTAAAGTTTCTACACTGACCCTCACAATGCCGCCCTTAAAAGGTTGTGTACAATAGCCTAGCTTAGGCAAGAATAAACGTTGATCAGTAATCTAATGTTACTAGTTCTCGGTTTTCCATTAATTTGAATGTTCTATTAATGCTAATGTATATCCAGATGATTTAAAGAACAATTTTTAAAATTTGGTCTTTTAGTATAGTATCCAAATTTAAACTTGAAATCAATTCTTGAAGTAACAGGTCTGTACAGCGTTAAGATCTTTTTATATTAAATAGAAAGAGATAAGAAGAGTCTAGCCTCGACCCCCACAAGAGAATGAATCATACTTAATAGATGATTTAAAGATACATTTGCAACTTTTTGCGATCCTGATGTTCACCACTCTGGAGAGCTAGAGATTACATTGTATTGGACATGGTAGGTTTTAAATAATTATTTAATGAATAATTTGAGATCTCGCACCCTTCCCGTTTGTCGTACCCCGGACAATTTTGGATCCACCCCCAACCGACACGTAAGTATGAATAGTCTTTTCAGCCCCAGCCCCCAATCCACTTATTTTTTTTATTTAAAGTTACAATAACCATAATCATAGACACAAGACATTTATTATACGTGTATGTCTTATGACTTATGTATTTTTTTTAATGAGAAAGAAAGTAAAATAAAAGCCTTAAAATTACTGACACTAGTTGATCTTTAAAAAAAATAGTACAGCAAATAACAATTTTATAAATTATACCTATTTTATTTGTATACAAATTACAACGCTCAAATAGGATTTTTAAAACAACTTTAGACTATATCCATTCATCCCCGTGGCGTTACAGACCGCGTGGGGGTTTGGCCTGCCTCACTACTTCCTTCCACACAGACCTAATGCTTTTCTTTTCCATGCTTGGATTCCCATTTGTTTTAAATCTTTTCCCCCTTCAGACATCATCCATCCATCTAAGCCTAGGTCTGCCTCTGAGCCGTTTTCCGCTTGGGTTTTGGTGATGCCCCTATTCACTCCTTAGTCATTTGACATTCTCTCTAAGACGTCTAAGTGTTTTAGACTTAATACTTTAAGTTTAAGTAATTTTAATAAATTTGATATTTAACATGTTATATCGGAGCCCCCATTGAAATTGTCCAGGAAATAAAACATAGGCCTATAATATAATGACATATAATGTTATTTACATATAGATTTAGTTCAGTCAGCTAGCCAATATAAGTCTGTAACGATCTACTTTCTCTTCTGAATTTACTTCGGATGCAGAACATTAAAAACATTGAAAGTGAAAGCATTAAAAACTACAAACGATGTAATAATTTGATTTTGTTACTTGCCTATTGATATTTAGAGGTACCGACTGGCTAATCATTTTTATTTTATTTCTTAAAAGAGGTTTACTAGGAATAACTCGTTTACATTTTACATGATTCTACTAGTACTGGTAGCAGAAACTCAAAGGACACCAAGTTATGGAATGGATACAATAATAAAGTTCAAGTAACTTCTTACATTTTATCTTTCCATTCATCTTTTAAAAATAACCTAGTTCTTAAATTCACGTAATTCGTAAAAATAAATTGGCGCTGGAGTTGATTGTCATCACAAACTGAATCACAGTTCAGTAGTCGTACTCGTAGTTATCAGTAGTGAACTTACTCAGTTTAACTCAGTGTGTATGATCAGTAAAAGTCAGTATTAGTTATAGACTATCATTTTCATGTAGTATCATGTATGTTGTCAGCATTAATTGGACTCATCAAGAAATTGAAACAAAAATTCTTGATTTATGTAGTTTGCCAAATGAAAAATCTGAAACAATAAATTACTATTACTATTTACTATTTATTACAGACTTGTCACTTGTCTTCAAAGTCAAAAAGTGTGTTGCCTTATAGGCAATAATGCAAATGTTAATTTTTTAGGAATTATTAGAAATTAAGACTTTAAAATATGAGATTACCTTCATTAAAAGGGGTTAAGAAATAATCAATTTAAAAAAAAAACAATGACCAATGGTACCAGTACTCTGATTAAATATGAAGTTCTTTGTTGATATTTGATAAGGGGTCATCCATACATGATGCCAATATTTTGGCAGATTTGTGACATCCTCTAACTCCACCCCAGTCCAAATTTGTCTCACAAGTTAGACAAAATTGAGTTTAGAAATAAAGCTTAGCAAAATTTGAATATGGTGTCATCCACAAAGTAGGACTAAGTCATGCTCTGGAGGGAGTGAGGGGACCTAAGAAAGTGGCAGTTTGTGACGTGGGGGGGGGGGGAGAGGTCAAAGATCTTGTGTGACCTCACGCATTTTATATTTTATTATCATCTTCTTCTTCTATATCTTAAGGGCCCACGATCAATTTATTGATCATTTTGGCTCCTATGCATGGAGATGGGATTTGCAATGTTTCTGTTACTGGTCTAAATAAAAGCTAAAATTTAAAGTGATGTTGAATTGTCTGTTGTGGTAGAAAAATTTAATATTTTCTTTTATACATGTAATAGCTCAATAGTAAATGAAAATGTGTTTTAGATTACAGTTTAATTAATTTTTAATTATTTAACACATCTGTAGTTTGACAGTATGATGTACTTATGGTGTGTGTGTGTGGGGGGGGGGGGGG